CTGGCCAAATTCTATGGATACACTAAGCAAACAGGCTACAGAACCCAAAACACACACAGAAATCTCAGTCCAAGCACACAAATCCAACAAATGCAGCAAACAGAAGCGGCAACAAGTGCCTGTGAAACAAACAATTACACTGCAAAGAAAATAACACTATGATTGAGGATCAGAGATACAAAATATATATATATAGTACATATAAGGTTTAGAGAACATATAACCCTATTACATTCAAAAATAAACGAATTGGAACGCTTTGCTAGCCGCATCTAATTGCATGGCTCAAAGATACAGATACTGTAGCTCCATAGCTCCATAGCTCCATAGCTCTATAGCTCTCTAGTTATTTTTTAAAGATATGCTGATACAGATAAGCACCGATAGGGTTCGCTGGAAACAAAAAAAAAAACCTAAAAACGTGGCTAAGGTCAGGCTGCCATTGACATTGCATGTGTTGGGTGTTGCAACAGCCACTGGACACAATGGGCTTCCTTGTTTCGTCCCCTCCCCCAGTGTTGAGTGTTGAACTTTCAATGGCAAACCCCAAAGCCCAAAACCCAAAACCCCCCCTCTCAGAGTATCAATCATCACCCTCTATCTTTGGGTTGGCGTGACGAATCCCTTCCAACTGACAACAGACACTGAAAATACCAGACCAATTAGTATAAAATCCAAAACATTACCCATTAAGTATTTAATTTTTTGTCTTTTTTGGCAAACTATTATTATATTTTCACTTAAATTTTGTATGAGAGGTGTGGTCTCTGCAGGTTTAACCTTCAAATTAGAAACCATATCTATAAAAGTCAGGGACAAGATCAAGACTTTATGAACCAATTAAAAATTTACATAAACTTATAATGGTTATCATATATCTAATACTCGATCATGATCAGTTGTCAGGTCTTAGGATCTATAGCGATGTTTTAGAAAGAGATTCCCCCAATTGAAATGGCCTCCAAAAGGCATTAAGAAATGAGTTCCATTCCGGAAAGATAATGGCTATTGTGGGACATACTATATAGAAATGAGGTTTTGAACCCGCCGCAATTGCCATAATCAATATGGACAAATGCCAAATCCGAATATAAAAATTAAATTCAATTTCAATTTCATGTCGCTATCCAGCTTGCATTTTTTATTTCATTTTTTTATGTAACCTAAATGAGTAAACTGTATAGTTCGTGATAGAAAATATATAAATAAAATGTTTGTGTGAGTGAAAACAATTGTTTATTATTTATTTACGTTGTTGTTTGGCTGCTTTGGATGTTGATTTGTATTTCATTTTGCGTACTAAACATTTGGGCCGACCATTTCAAGGCCAATACCTTTATTTGTGCCATATTTCATTGTTTAATTTTCTTTATTTATTTATTTTTTATTTCGCCTTTTCGCCACTTGTGGGCGTCGTCGTGTAAACATAGAAAAATTGCCAAATTAACTGGCCATGTGAGCCGAATGGGAAAACAGATTTTGAAACAGATTGTGTTTTTATAACCAAATTGCGCACTTTATTGTGAGAAAGTTGGGTCTTTAAAGGTGTTTAATACTCTTGGATGGATGGGGGATGTGTGGGTCTATATGAAAAGTGACTAATTCTTATACAAAAATAGGCTTTTGTTAGGATAGATCCTTGTCCGCTTAAACTTTTGTTTGATTTTTCTTCTTTAAGTTAGTAATGTTTTTTAGATTATATTTTGTCTATTTATTCATCCAATATAACCCCTAAGTGGTATGGTATATAGGACTATAGCTACAATATGGCCTTGTTTTAGATTTTGCAAGAAATTCTCTAAATTCTATTTATCTATAAGACCACCCAAATATTTAAGGTATACAGGACTATATCTACAATAGGTACATGTCCGTATGTCCATATGTCCGTTAAGTATCATATCCTTTAATGCGCTTATCTTTTAGACCCTTTTTTTAAACTTTACACCCTTAAAGGTATTACCTATTTAACTAATAAGCCAAGATCTTTGCTTAAATTGTCTCTAAAAACCTCAAAAGCCTCAAAAACCCTTTTTAGTAACTCCCCCTTCTGTCAGGGTTCTCTTTGCAATCAATTACCAAAACCTGTATGATTCGCCACCATTTCTGAGGGGGAAAGGCTTTCTGTTTTGTTCTGTTTTTGTGTGATTTTGGGTTTTCAGTTTTCGGTTTGGCAGTTTTCCGTTTTCAGTTCTGCAGTTCTCCGATTGGTGTTTTCTGTTTTGTGGGCTGCAGTTTTGCGGCTTATGCAACGCATTTTCAAATGAATTGTTCGGCAAATCAATTTGCATATTGCGCGGCGCATTTGCGGTAACAACAAAAACAACAATAACAACACTGACAATAGTACTCGGCTACCAGCACATTAATAGCCTGCCCCCAAGAGGTCATCATGCCGCACATGCCACACCCACTCCGACGCCCCCAGCCCTCCGACGCCCCCATAGACTGACGGCAATTTACAAAAATATTTTTGTGTTCACACTCAATTAATGCCAATTGACTGCAAAATTGCCAACACCTTTGACACACACGCCAGCCTATGTATATGGTGGTGTAAAAATGGGAATGGATATGTGAAAACAATCTCACAGTGTTTTTTAGTATCTGTATCTGCATCTGAATCTATCTGTATATCTGTGACAATGGCCCAAGCCAATTTGCCATCTATACCGCCCCCCTCTCCAGTGGGTCAAAAGAACTCGCGGTTTTCAGTTCCATAGCTAAAATGCAAAGTAAATCAATAAATAAATAAATTGTCACATGCAAAATTCATGAGACAATTCACAAAATACACACAGAAATACGAAAGCCCAGCAAGAACAACAACCTCCGAATTATTGACATTTTAAACGCAATTGAACTTTTCGCATAAATTTTTATTTTGAAGGGAAATTGAAATACCCAACCACCCACCATCGTCAATTGAATAAAATTAAATATAACAACTTAATGGATAAATAATTCGTAGTAGAAGTATCTTAGGCCTCTTATCTTGACCAATTTCAACAAACTATTAACACATGTCTTAAGATATAGCCCGTCCCCCCAATTAGTCGGCATAGTGACATAGTTAGATTACCAAATCATGTCAAGTTATTGTCTCGTACACTGGAAACTAAATCATCATCACATTTCTGTAGATTCTGTGAAATGTGCAGCATTTGCAATCTTTTTTCAGGGGCAGGGACAGATCATATATACTATATATACATATATAAAAAATATATAGAATAAAAACACATCAAGAGAGTGACAAGAGTAATGCTTGTTTTATATTCTTTACTTTATGTACTTTCCATATATTATATATATACATACTATATAGACTTTATATTTTATTCATTGTATTTTGGTGCATGGCCAGTTATCTCAGCTGGCGGCTGTTCGTCAGCTGTTATCGCTTCCGGGTTGGAGTCCCAGAGGCGTTGGCCAAAAAAAAAAGGGGTATCAGGGCCGTTGCTGTTGCTGTGCGTGTTTGTTATATAAATTCTGTGGCAATCGCTTCAGTGCGAATATTAGTCATGCAGCCCTGGTAAGTGCAATTCCCATGGAAATGTCCAAAATGTGCGACCCCTGGGGTTTATTTTTTGGGGCTATATACTCTCCAAGGGGGTATTTTGGGTTTTCTTGGGGGTATCTTGTGGAGGGGACTTGGAAGTCTTTAGGGGAAGTATATATTTTAATGAAGATCAGGTTTTTACTCCTAACTTTATCATCCGAAAGTTTATCCTAACTTTAAAGATCTATACATCTATACCAGACTATATCTTAGATAGTTCCTTGTCCATAGCACCCACTGTCTGTAAAGGTTACTAACCGGGTCCTCTTATCCTTCTGCCCTCTACTCCCTCCCCATAAAAGGGTATTTAACAATAGCATATCTACTCCCAAAAATATCCACCTCTATCACCTCAATTTTTGAATTTTTGCATTCGTTCGGCTTGGTTAACCCCGTTAAGCAGCCAGTCTGACTTTTTGCCACTTTCAGCTTTAAATTCATTGTGTGTTTTTGCACTCAATGCTGCTCTCTGGCTTTTTTTTTTGGTTTTTTTTTGGGCTTTAATTAAAATTATGTCAACGCAATTGAAATGTTATTGAACCAGCACGAACGATGCTTTGGCAAGCCAATGCGACGAGTTCATTAATTTGGATTTTGTAACTTTTATTCAAAAAAGTGCTCCGACGCGTCGTAACACCAACAGTGCAATATTTATGCATATCGAACTCTTTCCAAGTTCCCATAATTTATGGCCATTTCTGATAAAGAAACAGTCGGCATTGCAACCAAAAAAAAAAAGGGTCTTAACCAAAAAAGCAATTAAGAATTTCGGTTGCAGTCGTTGCTCTGATAATACTCCCATTTAAAAAAACACTCATTACCAAATTATACAAAAAAATTTAAACGTTACTTTCCAGCTTTCATTCATTATTTGTTTTTTTTTTTTTGAGGAAAATATAAAAAATAAATTTAAAATAAAGTAGATGTAATAAAATATACCTTGGGTGACCTGTAAATACCGCGTATTACTACACAACAACAAAAAACTGAATGCAATTTCAGCGAAAAAAAAAAGTCACATTACAGTGCGAACAAAACTTGGGCAATAAGCAAACGTAAACAGTTGTGTTTAATCAACTAAAATAAAGTGAAATATAAATATAAAAAAATAACACGAAAGGGAAACTGAAATCTGAACCGAAATAAACAGAAACTTTGTTTCCCAGCTAGACTTGTCAACGCCCCCGCTGAATTCTTTGGCCTTTTTCACGATTTATGGCATGAAATTTATCAGCAGAAAAATATATACGAAAAATGGTAGACTTTTATTAATAAATACACTATAAAATGGGTTACATTTTCGTATAATATATAACCAATTTAAACCTATTGAATTAAATAACCTTAATACTCTCTGTAAGAGTATTATCAATAAAAAGATTCCCCTTTGAATACGTTCATTAATATATAGGATTTGGCCATAAAAACCAATACTCACCCCAAATCAGGCCATATAAAGGGCAAATGATATATATGAAAAAGGGTTGCCAGGGTATCAGCCGCCAAAAAAATATGTGCTCCTGTTTCTCGATATTTTTTTTAGTCCAAACAGGATGTTTCAGTGGCTCTTGCTACCCACCGGATGGTTTTTGGAGCGCTTGGATAAATCTGCAATTGAAAGGAGATAAAAAAAACATAGATTAAAGTAGGAAAAGTACTTTTTGGGGAATTTTACTTAAAATTTTGTAATAAAAATTGCGTATTATGGAATTTTGACCTTGGAACTGGAATTCCTTTAACCGGAAAACGATAAGAAATAATCAGCTTAGTCTTAAATTAATATGCTACTCTTGTGTATATATATTTTTTTTTACTAAACCTTGTATATCTTTTACTTTACTTTTCTGTCCTAGATTTCTTTTCTATTTTTTTTTGTTACAAATCCAGTTATTTGTTGAATTTGACAGTTTAATTCTACGCCTCGATGAACGAATCGAACCCCAATCAGAGTGCCCTCACCCTCTGCCCCACTCACGCAATGCCAATGTGTCTATTTCAATCCAAAACACAACAGATACAAAATACAACAGATGGATACATCAGATGTATCTGATAGATGCTATTGCTGTTACTGATGCTGATAGATACTGTTGCTGATTTGTAAATCAAACAACTTTGACATTTCGATTTCCCAGGCCATCCCACACAGCCATCACAGCTCAAGGATACTTCTAATCCTTCCAAATATCTTTATATCTCTACCTCTATTTGTATCTGTATCTATCAGATTTGTGTGTTTAATTCTAACAAATTGCTTATGTAAGATGAACTTTATAAGTGATTTGCATTGAGGTATGAAATCTACTAGAGATTCAAGTTTTGGGTTCTGCTAATGAATTTCATTGGGTCTAGGGGAACTAGGGGGTCTAGGGGCGTGGCCAGGCCTCCGGGTGTAGGGCCGCCAAGTGAAAACTTGTCCAGCAATCAACAAAAACCAGCTAGCCGGCAAGCGAAGAGCAAATCAAGAAATAAAATAAAGAAATAAAAAATAAAACAAGTGAGAAATGCCAAAAACAAGTTTAAATGTCAAAATGTAACTCCCAGACGGCAAAAAAGACGGCAAGTGGCAACAACAATTGCTGCAATATTGCAAGTTGGCTGAGGCGCCGCGAAAGCTACAAAAATCAAATTAGCGCCTGTTGCAATCGACAGTCGGTTCTCTCACTGTCTTGTTATTAATAAATTTTTGTCGTTTTTTTTTACAGCCATGCTTATGCAAAAAAAAAAACGAAAAAATAAATGCTTAAATTAAATGTGAACGGGGAACAACTGCAACAAAAAAAAAACGGCGAAATAAAAACCCCATATAACTGATTATCATTATAAGTCTGTTTAAAATTTATGAACAATGAAAAATTCCATACAAAGAGAAGGGGTCTAAGAGAGGGGAGGTCTTGATAAAAATTAAGATGGAGTGGATGGGACTTTTGCATATATTTTAGAATCAAAATAATCAATTAATTCTACGATTCGTTCTAGTTGATGTTGAGGAACTTGCTATAACTTGTATTATCTGGCTATTACTGGTCTTTAAAATATAAATAAAATTAATGATTAAAAAAAAACAGTTAGAATGACTATATTATTACACCTTGACAGAATCAATGGGTCTTGAACTTTTCCATTTCGAAAAAATATTTATATATATATAAATATTCCAAGACAAGATATTCCGCAACCCCAACGGCGCGACCAAGACACGATTAAAGCTCAATTAATTTTTGCCTGACAATGACAAGGAGGCCTCTCATCACAGTGGCTGTCAAAAGCTATATAGCTATATATACTATATATTATAAAAAAAAATAAAAACAAGACAAAAGTCTAGACATGGCTCAAGAGTCGAGAGACTCATGAAAAGAGTAGATTTCCTAAAGATTATTCTTTGATTTTCTAATATTTAATGCTTTTTTTTATGATTAACTTTCTCTCAGTGTACTTGGTAGGCTCTCTCAGTTCACTAGAGTTCAATGTTCTCACCATAATATTTTCCATAATCTTTCTTTACGAGTTACTGTTTTTTTTTTATTTTTCTCAAAGATCTTTAATCGATTTATTTTTAATTTTTTTTTCTTCGATTAGATTTTAATTAAATATTGTGTATATATAGTCTATATAGTAGAGTCATTAAACTTTCTATGTCTCAGGCTTATCATTGTTTCTGTGGCTGATGCTTGCTGGCAACATGTTGCAGCCATTAGCCCAACAATGGGGCATCTATTGCAGTTTGGCTGGCAGTCGCATTGATTTATCTGGCATCTCACGTTTGCCCAAAGACCAGGGTTCTGGTCTAGGTCTAGGGCTTGGTCGTGATCCACTCTGGACCTTGGATTCCTTTAGGCAACGGGGATGGCCACCCGTGAGCTCGCGGCATCGGCATCGCGGTTCAATTCAATTGCCCTGGACCACAAAATCATTGACAGCGAAATAAAAAAAAAAATACCCAAAGCACTGAGAGAAATTAGTAGTTGAAACTAAAAAAAATATCTTCTGAAGAGAATAATTTTTGTTGTAATTTTTTTCTCACTGTATAACTACATCAGCAACATGTCAGCATTCGTGGTCACACGACCCTCTCTCCCTCCCCCTAGCCCGTTCTTCTGCTTCTTCTTCTTGTTCTTCTGCAGAGGGCGCCATCAGTTCATGGGAATCCGCTCCAGAAGATGCCACACACAGTAAACACGAAGCAACAGCAATAGCAGCAGCAACTGTTGCAGCTGCAGCAAACTTTGGCCCCGCGATGCATTCTCTAGTATTCTGGCATTGGCGTGGGTGGGTGGCAACCACTGGATGCGCCGAGGGGTGGGGACCTTAGGGGGGCCTTCAGGGTGCTGGTGGCAATTTGCTTGCTTGCATTTCGCTGTCGCAACCATATTAAATACATTTCTCACATGATTGCCATGCACTTTGCACAATATTGTCCAGATAGTAGTAGTAGAATACAATGCAAGATGCTGCTGACTGCTACTGTTGGTGTTGCTGTTGCAAGTGTTTCGTGTTCCATTGTTCAACTGAATTCGAATCCGAATCCGAATGCGAATCCCTGGTTGTCTGGTTGTCTGTCAGTCGGTCATGTGGCCAAGTAATTGATCATGCGATATACTCTGTTCACAGCAGCAACATCAACTACATACATCAGCAACACAAAGGCCTTAAACAGAGAACAATTATTGAAAAGAAAGTGCTAGAAAGGAATCAACTCTCAATTTCCCTGAAAGTGCCATTATGATTAAGCCTTTCTGGGAAATAAGTACATACTTTCATACAGAGATTCAAACAGAATTCATTCATGTTCGTTTAATATGTTATTATTTTTCAAAAAAGCATTCATTGGCTTGTGGATGATGGCTTATGTTGTTTGTTTTTCTTCTGTTGGCTAGAAATATTTTCCAAAAAAACATTTTTGCATAATAAACAAGCAACAGTGGCAGCAACAGTGGCAGAGGTAGCAACATCCCTTGCAACACAGCAACATAAACAAGAAATAACACAACATGAGGCAGAAAAAAAAAGTGCCACAAAACATGCAAATAAAAAAAAAAAGGAGGATGTTTTTCGCACATGAATTTTTATGTTTGTGGGGGGGTGTGAGTGTGTTATGAGTATGTGTGTGTGTTGGAGCTATGAGTGTGTGTTATGAGTGTGTGTAAAAATGCCAAAAAGCCAAACGAGAATTGTCAACCAAAACATTGGCGTTGGCCACCGCAAACAGCTGTAACGAACGCCAACACTTACACACAGTGCCAACTAGCAACAACGACTACTGGCAACTAGCAACTAGCAACCTGCAACACGAGACCATACTAGTAGCAATACCAACACCTCTAACAACAACAACAACAATATCTGCAACATAGAGAGTTTCTGGCAAACATGCGTTTTAATTTTTTTTTCGCGCAGCCGAAATGCAGAATGAAAATGCTTTGCATTTCACCCACCTTCCCCTCCTCTCTCTTGACAACATCCGTTGCCAAAAACCAAGGGGGAGGGGGGCAGCGGAGGGGTAGTTTGTTAGGCTTTTGGGGCCTGGGAGCTGGGAGCTGGGACCTGGGACCTGGGATACAACGATAGCATTGTCAAAACATATGCTTTCACACTTTGGCCATGCCATGCAACATAAAAAGAGGAAAATGTGTGGAAATGGGGCCTAAAGGCAGTGGGGGAGGGGAGGGAGGCTTGAGGGAGTGGCTGCTGTAGGCGGCGTGGCATGCCACAAGCTGTGAAAACTACACACAAAATTGTCAGAGTTTCTAAAGAGAAACTGCTACAAAAAATGCCTTTCTTTTTTTTTAAATATTTTTAAAATTAAAAACTAAAATTATTTAATAAATTTTAGAGTTAAATCTTAATATTTAATTTAAGCCTATTAACTCCCAATCTTTTTATTTTAATTAAATAAACTTTGTCGCCTGGTCATGGCATTGCATTCAATGACATCCTTTTGGCCGCCTCGGACATCCTTTTGGGGGCCAGGACCTCCTACCACCCTCCCTCCCGGCCATTTTCCACGCATTTTACAAACAGGAAAATTAAGTGCTTGTCACATTTGCGGTTGACAACGTTTAATTTTGTGTCTATTTTTATGCATACGCGACACCATCACCCAATCACCTTTGCCCCTTGGCATCTACTTCTTGTGGGCGGTGAGGCGTGTCGGCATACAAGCTGAATAATTAAATCATTTAACCAAAAAAAAATATTTAAAAAAAAACTAGAAGCCAGAAAGCCAGTGTAGAGAGAGACGGGGGGCTGGGCAGTAAAAATCCGGGCTAAAATGGAAGTGAAAACGGAATATAGAATGTGTAATAAAGTGTAATAAAAATAAAAAAAAAAGAATTGTAAGCGGAAGTAGCAGCGACGCGACGCATTCAGTCAGAACGCCAACGGAGGCAGTGGCAGTGGCAGTGGCAGAGGCGGTAACAGAAGCGGCCGGCATTACTTTTAAATAAAACAAGAAAGGAAAGCTAACTTCGGGCGGAGCCGAAGTTTATATACCCTTGCAGCTAAAACCGGATATATATCGCAAACATCGGATATAGTTAGCCGATCCTTATGAAATTTGGTAGGTTGGATCAACTGACCAAAAATAGAATCTGTACCAAGTTCCAGCTTTCTATCTTCAAAAACACAAAAGTTGGGTCATTTCCGATCGTTCAGTTATATGGCAGCTATAGGATATAGTCGGCCGATCCCGGCCGTTCCGACTTATATACTGCGTACAAAGGAAAGAAGGGTGTGTGCAAAGTTTCAAGACGATAGCTTTAAAACTGAGAGACTAGTTTGCGTAGAAACAGACAGACGGACTGACGGACATGCTCATATCAACTCAGGAGGTGATCCTGATCAAGAATATATATACTTTATAGGGTCGGAGATGTCTCCTTCACTGCGTTGCACACTTTTGGACAAAATTATAATACCCTCTGCAAGGGTATAAAAACAGGAAAGAAGGCTTACAAATAAGACGAAGACTAGATACACTTCTCACAAAAAAAAACATGAAAATCTATAAGATATAGTCAGCCGATTCTAGTTAAACTTGGTCATATAAGAGATTATCTCAAGACTAATCATTGTACCAAGTTAGAGATCCCTAGCCTCAAAACTAAGAGCCACAACTAAGAAAAGGCTAAAAAAAAAATCCAAAGAAGCTTGAACTTGACTCTTAAGTGTTACCACTTATCTATAAGATATAGTAGACCGATTCTAGTTAAACTTCGTAATATAGTGGATGATCCAAAGACTAATCATTGTACCAAGTTATAACTCCCTAGCCTCAAAACTAAGAGCCACAGCTAAGAAAAATCTAAAAAAAAACCAAACCAAAGCTTAAACATGACTCTTCAGTGTTACCTTACCCATAAAAATACCAAAATACCCTTTTGGTAAGTGTATGAAAAAAACAAAAGCGGAAGAGGGAGGCATCATCGTCGTAAAGAAAGACAAACGGCCATGGCGTGTAATGGAAATTACGAGTTGGTGTCTCAACGGACAAGAACAATAAAAAAATAAAAAAAAAAAATGGCATTCTAATAGAGGCAACAGCTTTTCTGTATTTTTTAGGGGGCAGTGCACCTGCGGGTTATATACCGATAGCCGATAGATGCTACAATTCCAAAGGCCATTAGAAGTTGCCACTGTTTACGGTTTCCGTTCCAAAAAAAAGGGGGAAAGATAGAAGAGAGTCTATAAAATATTCATTGATTTCTTGAGAGATTTCTTATCTGTATCTGAGAGATACATATAGGTTTTTTGCATATCTATGTATATCTATAGGGGTGATAATATTTTACAATCATTTTCAGATTATCAGAAACATTAATATACATTTTTATGATAAACCTTTGTTTTTATGAATATTTTTATTAAATTTTAAATTTAAGTTTTGTTTTTAAAAAACTTTCATTTGTTGTTTTTGTTTTTCAATTAAAATTCTACCTGAGGTCTGACCAGAGCCGTGACCACAAAAGCGTAACAAGTGCTGCCACAATCAGAAAGGTCTCCCCCATCTGAGGGGATCTGCCTTTGTCTCTTCCCCCTTTTCAATTATACTCCCCTCTCCAACCCCCCCTCTCCCCTCTCCTTAAAATCTAAAAACCCAAAAAAAAAAACCTTACTGAACCGAACTGAGAGGCACCTGTTCGTCGACACTTTGACGCTTCGCTGATTTTTTGGAGGCGAGTGCGTGCTACGCTTTTCGCTTTTGACTCGCCGATGAGTCAGCGGTACGTTCCTGCTACCATCCCTCCCCCCTTTTTCGGGCTACCTCCCACTGTTGCCCCATCTGCCTTCATGGTTAAATAACCATGCGGGCCTGAAAGAGCATCCTAGAGCGGGGTTTGGGGCAACGCTACGTTGCACATGAGCATCATAAGGGTATACAGGTATACAGGTGGGGGTGGGGGGTGGGTGTAGGACGTGTGGCAAGTAGCGGGCGGCAGGTGGATGGATGCCTTAATCTAACGGCAAATGAATGCCTTATTAGCCAAATGCCACCCAAACGAGTTCAACAAGTGAATAATTGAATGAATAAATGAATAAAGCTGGGTTATAGATAGAATATAGAGAATATAGTAAAATATAGAAATATAACCTCTAGAAAATCCTTAGACTCATTAGACCCTCCCTCCTTCAAATCCCCATCCCCACTAAATCATTACAATTTCCGCCACTTTTCCCGATCATTAGTTTTTCAAAACTTTTCACGGTTCTAAGAAAAACCCACTCCAAGCGGTACATATTCGTGATCTATATAATGCCATTCGTCTGGGCCGATCCAAGTGCGGGAAATGGAAAAAAAAGAATTCCATAGCAAACATTTCAAAGTGGTTGGAGGTCGTATACTATACTATATCGGTTTTAGGTTTTTTTCGGTTTTGGATTTGCTTTTCATTATTCACATATTTAGGGCCTCAGGCACGTACCGCCCACGGTCTCCCCTGATGAAATAGAGATGCTGTTTGCCTATATGTACATTGTACACTATATACCATACCACTAAGCCCATGCAGCTGAATCAATTTTGAACCATACACCCCAAAAAAAAAAAAAACCAAAAAGTTCACTTAAGTGGCAACATTTAAGTTTATTATTTAATTTGTGTGCTGAACCCGTGACTTGTTTTAAAAATATAAACTGAGAGAAATTGAACACTACTATGATATATTTATGATCATATATGTTTTGGGAATTTTTTGATATTTTTTTCAAGTGTACTCAGTGATATTTTTTTCTCGCCTCAGTCAACAAAATATCTAGCACCCCCGCCACTAGCCAGTTAAATGCAATTAACTTGGTTAAACTTTCATGCGGGATTTGTGGAAATTTTTCCACTCTTTTCCCTTTTTTTTTTACGGTTTTTAGATTTGAATTTTGAATTTTTGTGGTCAACGGAAGTGATCATTTGGCCATGCGGCGACACTGATGATAGGGCCAACCATCTGGGGGAAATGACATCACTACAAGAGTCACATGGCTCTCAAACCATGTCGCCTAATCGTGATGTTTTTCCAGTTTCCCAGTTTCGCAAATGTTCCAAATAACTGATAACACCACCCAAAAGGTCAACGTAGAGTTCAATGGACCATCTAGAAATGATTAACTCACAAGATTCCCACAATGAGGGTTAAGATTTTTAGAGGGAAGTCGTCTTAACTTTCACACCCATCCATATTTCGGGAAAGAGATATTCCCACACACACACTCTCTGGGGTGTCAGAAGGTCAACATCGGGCGTGATTCGGGATGGAAATCCCATCCCATCCATGAAACCCAAGGAAGGACTATACAAGCCTGAAAGGTCTCTGAAACTCAGAAACTCTGAAACTCGTATTATCGATACCGGAGACTGTAAAAATACAGAAATTTCGCTGAATTTTTTGTTGGTTTCAATTGAATTTGCATTAAAAACGTGTTTCCGTCACACAGGCCACAGAAAAACAAACAAAAAAACGCGGGGAAATTATAAAACACACACTTAATGGTATTAAAATATAAAAAAAGCAACAAAAACAAAATTATAATCCACTTACTTTTGCTGTTTTATATCCAAAAGCCAACAAAAAAAAACGAAAGAAGATCTTCAAGATTCACCAACGAAAAAAAAAGAAGAGTTTCGCGTTTTTTTAATCTTTCACTGGTTTTTTGTTGTTTTTATTTGTATTTTGTATTTTTTTGGGTTAATTCGAAGTTATTGTAAAAATTAGCATATAAATAAATATTTGGTTCGATTTGGAAACACTTGTTCTTTTATGTCTAAATTTTATTTAATTGCTTAAAGTTTTCCTTTCGCTGATTGCCTTTCATTTTTTTTATTATGACACCAAGTTGTTTTATTTTGTAATTTTATTTAGTAATTTAAATTTTATATTTATATGCATAATTCACAGTTGGTTTTTTTTATTCACACACTCGACAAAAAATGAAAAAATAAGTAGTAATAGTTCGAAATCTGTTGGAAAAAAATATATAAAAAAATTACATTACTTTCCGCTTTTGTCAAAAAAATATATACATATATCTTATGTATATGTTTAGAGTATATATATATACATATATATTTTCTTGAAGATTATAAATTATCAGAGGCCTGCTGCCTACAACAATAACAATAACAACAACAATCGCGTTTCACAATTTATTACATTTTTTTTTATAATTTTTTTTCTTATTTATGCTTTTTGTTTCCTTTCACAGATTGGAATATTTATATTCTCTTGTTTTGTTTTGTTCTTTCTTTCAATCCGAACCAAAATCGGGTCAAAGTTAGAAAGAAAACTAGATAAAGGCATTAATTTTAAGCACATCATTAATATTAGAAACTATATTAGGTTCTTGTTTTTTTTATTGAAATAATTTAAATATTTTAATAACACGTTCTCACTGATAATTGCACATGTTTATTTTTTTTTATTTTTATTGTGTTTTTTTTTTTTATTAATTGCCGTTGTTATTGTTATTGTTGTTATTATTTTTTTTTTGGTGTAGTGTGGGAGGAACGGGGGCTACATATAATGTAGTTGGGGCCCCAACTAAGTGGGTGAGAGATGGCGCGGAGAAGAGCACACACCGTTACCGTTCACGTTCACAGTTGTTTTTGCAGTGTAGACTCTTAACAGAGCGGCAGCGACTCACATTGACTTCCAAACGCGTTCCACCCCATTCAGGTTCCACCATCCACGACCTATACGTCGCTACGATCGACGTCAGCGTCAGCAGAGAGGCTAGCGATCACCGATCTGTTCCCACAAAGAAAGAGAGAACAGACCAGCCGGTACACCGAGAGACTGAGAGAGAGTTGGCCCAAGAGTAAGCTTAAAACGAGCTTAGTTTTTACAGCTCTTTTCTTGTAAGTGCACTGGGAGAAACTTTTGTGGGTTTTGGTTTAAAAAAAATATATTATTCTATTGAGAAATATAATTTTTCTTTTAGTGTAAATTTTTTTAAAGCACAATTTTTAGTAGAGTAACAAAATTTCCACCATTAGAAGAGGTTAAGATATTTTTCAAGGTGTAGAACCCAGTCACTTGGTCACCGCCCGCTAAGAATGATTAATGACCAAAAAATGGCCAATGCATTTGTCTGTTTTTCCCCCTCTCATTGTGTGTGTGTTTTTTTTTTCCAAGTGCATGTAATTTACATAGACACTTCTTCTTCTTCTTCATGTAGTAATTTCCTGGTAAATTTCCATTGACGGGTATTCCCCCTCTTCTTTTGGGAAGATGTTTTCAAAACAATTCTATTTTCGAATCTTGTTGTCCTGCGGTTGGTCCCCAAGGATCAAAAATTGAAATACTGAGAAGGTCCTGAATGAAGGCACTTGTCCGTACATTAAGGGTAATTCGACGAATGTCCTTAGACTAAAATAAATCCAATTTAAGAAAGCCAATTGAAAAGATTTAGTCGAGTTGTTGTTTTTTTTTTTGTTATTTTTTTGGCCTGGTACTTCACGCTACCTTTAATTAGCCGGCACTTGAATTGTTTAGGCCAACATAATGGCCAATTAGGCCCACTTGGCCATAAGGACACTGAGGGAAATTCTTAAGAGAAGATATATTTTATAAAAAAAATTGGTTTTCTTCTTAGATTTAGATTTTAAGGCCTTTTTTTTGGGGAATATGTTTCTCATAATTTTTCGAGGTGTATGCTCTTGGAGTGGCATGCCCCTCTGTCTGCTGGTCAAGTATTTGCCACAGACTGCAGGCCTTTCCCCCAGAAAGCCAAAAAAAAACCGAAAAAAAACAAAAGTTTAACAAATACGAACCAACACAACTCAAAATCATCCGCTTTTTGGTACTTTTCCTTCCTTTTTTTTTTTAATTTCTGATATTTCACCATCTGATGAGGCTGAGCTGGCTCTTCCTCGGCGTTGTTTTGATGCTTTAAGTGAAATCAATTAAAAAATTTCTTTGTCTTTCGAATGTTTGCCTTCTGCCTTCTGCCATCGGCCCAGCCACCTCCCCGTTCTCCTCCTTATTTTTTTCTTTTTTCGAGTGGCATTTGGAATTTTCAATGGAAATTAATTTCTTTTAAGAAAAAAAAAATGTATTTTCTCTTACTGTCGAACATACTTTTTTTTCAGACTGCCTTTGTCCGTATATTTCTTCATCATGCTAATCATTTTCACTTTTATTTATTTTTCGGTTTTTTTTTTCTCGTTAATGTTCTCGTTTTCACTTTCCGAACAAGTTTATACACAAATACCTACAAACTTCCATAGATATATATATTTTTGAAAAGTGCCCAACATTAATTAAGAAAAGTACAAACAATACCCAAAGTTGTCCAAAAGTTTTCGCCAAAAAAACAGTGAGGGGTAGGACCAAAAACAAAAATAGTTAAGTAAACAAAATGGCCAGCTAATAATTTAATTATTTTTCAACAAAAAAAAAAATTAGACATTAAGACATTAAAGTGGAGAAAACAGAATTCAAATACTAAGGATCAGAAACCATTATTTCAGAATTTCCTCTTCAAAAAGGGGGAGAAAGTAATTGTTTTTCGTTGGCAGCTAATAAACCGAAGAAGCTATGGAGGGAGAGGGTATCCGTAGGCGTCGCTTTAAATGTACTTTTCGGCAAGTCAAAACGCAAATTGACAACTTAATGCCATCAAAGTTCAAAGGGCGCCAACCCAAGGGCCTAACTCCCTCCCCATCAGATTGAAAAGTTTGAAATAAATGTCGACGCTGAGTCCCATTGAATCCCGAATCTGATTCCCGATTGCCATTCGACATTGACATTCAAATCTAAACATAAATAATAACAATGATAAACATATCAACACGCTGCCGGGTTGGGAACATTTTTTGGGGAAGGGCCTTGGGGGCCTAAGCCGCATATGCATGCCAAAGATACCAAAAAGACCCCCCAAAAAAAAGAAGAAAAAGAATCGAGCGCCGGGCAGACATGAATCAAGTTTAAAGCGATACCCAGAAAAGGGCAGCAAACGTTTTTAGGATTCATTTGCTTCTGGGCGGCGGGCCTACAAAAGAAAACATCAACACATGCCGACAGATACATTGAAATCGAACAAAAAAATTGGTTGCTATTGGAAGGGAAAACACAACGACGACGACGATGAGAAGAAAAGCCATGAAGACACAGGACACCAAAAAAACAGAAAAAGGGATCACATGCCACAGGACAACATGAAAAGTGGACAGCCATTCGCAAGTGTGGCATTGGAAAAGCCATTTACACATCACTTTTGGTCTCTTATTCAACAATTAGGGGTCTTAGTAGAGCTTCTGGAATTACTATAAATACTTAATAATTTTCTAATAATTAGTAGAGTTTTTAAAATCATAACTTCTTACTTGAACTTTAAACTCCAAAGAAACATACATAATTATGTTTTAAGATTGGCTCTTTGGGTTCTAATTTGTTTATTTATTTTATCTTGAAGGTGCATTGCTCTTCTAATGATACCCGGTACTTGAAGGGTATAAGGACTAGGGCCATGTCCCTAAAATTAGATCTCAGAGACTATAAGAGATAGATCTATAAGCTATGAGTTTTAACTTTTAAGATCTAGACTTCTATCCCCACTTATTTCAAATTATATTTTAATTCTTAGCCTAAATACCATACCCTGGAAGAGTACCAGGTATCATATAGTCTAAGACCTCACCTTTAAAGACAGCAAGTCAGCCCAAATCTTGACCCACTCGACGACAGCCCTGTGATATATTTCCCTCGAAGGAAAACACTCGAAAAATATGTGAGCATATCTTTGGCGAGCAGGCGGTCAGTGTTCGAATACTGATAAGCCAAACATGGCTTACCGGGAATCAAAAACCTCAGAGACCAAAAAAACAAAAAATATATACATACTATATATATCCGAATCGTGACATTCAAACTGGACGACGATGAGTCATCAGAAAGAAGAGAAAAAAAAAAAAGTAAACTAAGGTTGAACGAAAGAAAGACCTTTCCTGGAAGGGAAAACAGGGAAGGGAAACTCAGTGGTGCATGTTGATGTGCACATCTGTGGCCCATTAATAAGTCGCCACTTAAAATTCCACGGTCTTTGTTATTAAACATTTGGTTCGACTGCAGCTCCCTTGATACGAGATTCTTCGAGATTCTTTAAGATTTTTGTTTAAATCTTTCCAAACATGAACCACAAGGCTGTCATACTTTTTTTTTTGGCAAGATTTTAACTTTTAAACTCTAATTTAAATTGGGAAAAAAATAAAAGTTGCAGAATAAAAATAACTTCATTTTGAGACTTGGACCCCAAAGAGGCCCCCAAGTTGTTGTTGTTGTAAACTAATTACAATCAATTCTAATCGTCTTTAAATTGCTGCTTTTACGGCTTCCTTTTGTGGGGCTGCTCGGTGGCACTTTAAAAGGTGTTGCCCGTTGGCTGGTTGTAAGTATTTTCCTGGGCTTCCGCCTTGGAGCTGCCCAGGAGCTGGCTGCTTCAGGTTTTCCTCTCACTCACCCTGACCATTTCCAGTTGCCTGCTTAGTATGTGCATGTTATTCCCATTACGATACCCTAAACTACAAGTAAGGTCTATTAATATATATAGATTATTTTTGCTAAGATAACTATTATAGTAGAGTCTAGAGGTAGAAATGTCTTTATCGTGAAACATGGCTATAACTCACTCAAGTAATTCTTCCAAAAGAGCATCTAGACTTTGTCTGTTGAAGTTGGCTTTCCAATTTGCCAAGTTTATGGGCCTTTGGCGTTTTCCGCTTGATTCTATTTTCAAACTCCGCGGCACTAAACAGAAAACCAGCTGCTGACTGATTATGGTCAAAAGCTGAAACAAAACAACAAAAAAATGGAAACCGTTTTTGTGACGCTTTTCAATAGAAACTGCTGTTGGTTTAACTCGAATTGGTAGTGGCAGTAGACTAGGTCTAGGAATAGGAAATCAGTATCAGCTTATTACAGTTTAAATCTAAATTAAAATCACAAATGTTGTGATCTTACACAGATTGTTTATATTACCTACGGATATCCATTCCTGTCAATCACACTTGACATATCCCCCCAGATATATCCCACACCCGCATATTCCTAGTGGTTTCGGGTGCTAATGTTCCCCTTGTCACTGGAGGAGATATGTAGAAACTGCCTGGCCAGGCCAATTACCCCCCGGGTTTCCCTTAGTTTTTCCAAAAAAACAAATCAAAATAAAAATAGGAAGTCTGCCTATTTGATGAATGGCCTGTCAGTGGAGAACCGCACCACATTCCAAAGATAATTTGCAAAAATATATATCTATTTGGAATAAGATTTTCAAATAGTTATTATTATTTATTAGCACTCATCTTTTGGTTCATTATTAATAGAGTGGAGTGGTCTTTCCATTTGGACTAGCTATCGAATCCTATATGTATATATATTCGTAATCCCCTTGCCAATCGATGCTGTTTGATAATCGGCTTCCTGAAGAAAGTTTCCATTTGCTGATGAGCTAATTAACCGAATGTTTTGATGATGCATACCCCCCCCATCCCTGTTTTTAAGCTTGCATCTACAAGTAAGAACCCTTCTCTACTTATCTGTGTCTCTTTCTCCAACTATAGCCATCTCTGTCGGATGATGATGGAGCCCAAGCCCAAGCCCGAGCTAGAGACCGAGACCTAGAAGGGGGCGTCTCTCTGTGTGTGTCTGTTATGTAATAGCATGTTAGGTGTATAACTTTTATTATTATGATTATACTTCTGCCTTGCTTTGCCTTGGACAATGTTACTACTATATTGTAGTTGTTGTTGTTTCTATATATATATATGTTTTTATGTAGAGCTAGGGTTCTGACTCTGAAGAGATACGTGAAAGTCACGTGAGTCATTAAAATGAAATAGCAGTCAAGTCTAAGTAGGAGCATGACGAAGGGCAAAAACTGGGGGGGTAGAGATGATATGATGTTGTTAGTTGGGTTCTATATTCTTGTTGTGGTTGTTGTTGTTGTTACTATTACTGGTGTTGCACTGGGACAGGAAGTAAACCTGGCCAACACAGACAGGGCCAACACAGGTGCTGCATTGTAACACTTTTCTTAAAAGCTTGTAACTTTCTTTAAAATAGTTTTTTTTGCTTAAAAAATTCTTTAAAAAAATTAAAATTTAAATCTTTATGATATTTTATATTTTCTTAAGACTTTTATTTCTTTTATTTGTTGGTATATATATTTTTTTCGGTGCATTCGCGTGAGTGATGAGATGCTTACTGCCATAAACAAAGCTGATGTTGCTGCTGTTGCTGTTGCTGCTGTTGATGTTGCTGATGTTTCTGATGTTGCTGCTGCTTGTGCTACTGGTGCTGTTCTTTTTTTGTCGGGGAGTTGCCTGTCAACGCTAATGCCATCGGAGCTGAGGTTTCTCCTGGGCTTTCGGACCCTCACCCGACTCTGTCTGTCTCTGAATTGGATGCCGGAATGGTTTTTGGGTAGAAAGAGGTAGGGTTCAGAGGTTGCACTTTCCACCGTCACCGTTACCGTCATCGTTGTCATTGTCAGCTCATTGTTCTCTGTATCTTGGCCCCCTTGGGTTCGGGATTTTTAATTGCAATTAATTTTCAACATTCCCTGCGAGCTGGATGTGCATCGCGTTAAGTGGCAGTTCATCATGTCCTACCTCCCTGCCTCCCAAGAGATACAATGAGGATTGTTGCAATTCCGAATCGATTCCAGATCGATTAATAAGCGATAGTGTTAATTGCGACTATATATAGGCTATTGGTAATGCTATTCTAATAGATATTCTACAAGAAATTCAGGTCCCTTTAAGAGGCTTAATATCTCTTAGTTTATTTTGTCCTTTTGGCACTTTCACTTTTCACTCAATTTAATTGTTTAATGAATGCCACATTTCGCATTCATTTATTCATATGGCGATTTATTGATTTGGCCGCGTTAAATAAATTGCCATTGGATAGAGCCATGCCAGCCATCCATAGTCCATTCATTCAGTGGCATAATTTCAATTTCGTTTCACCAATTGTGAGTGCAATTGCATTACGAGCTTTTCTTGTTACTCAATTAACTTTTAATTATCCGCAAAATGAGAAGAGTCCAGCTAACCGGATTGAATGACTGACTGACTGACTGCCCAACTGACTGACTTGCTAACTGCCAACTGAAAACTGTTAGTCGGGAAAACAACTTATCCAACAATTGGGAAAATGGCCAAGACGAAACGGCAAAACGAAAACCGCCCGCATAATGGAAAAATAAAGTAAAAAGCACGCTGGCGGTAAAAAAAAAACAGAAAAAAAACTTCAGTTGTCATGGCCACTAATTGAAAACAGCACGAGCCAAGGGATGAACCATGTAACTCGCCTATATATTATAGTGTTTCTCTCCCCAGGGGACGATATTGAAAGTGAAAGGTATTGGGGCACAAATACAGGTGATTTGGTTGGGCAATCATTAAATAATCATTTCACCCCATCAACTGTCAAGCAATTATGAAATTTGGTATTTTATTAAACAGAGAACGTGGGCATTGGCTAGCGTCTGGATGTCCGACAGGCAGAGACAAAAAGTAGAGTAGATACCCGGTCTCAGAAAAATTATATATAAATTCGAAAATCTATATTTTGATTTGCAGATTGGTGGAGAATCGATCCACAAATCGTTTGAGGTACTCCTCGCAAGAATCGGATGAGAATTGGTCGAAATATGGCCTTCCCAGGAGGTCATACCCCAAAATCGCACTTTCTGCAGGGGTCTCCCCAGGAAAAATATGAAAAAAATCTAAAAAATATTTCGTTGTCAGGTTTTGATGCAGATTGGTGGAGAATTGATCCAAAAATCGATAAAGGTACTCCTCGCAAGAATCGGATGAGAATTGGCCGAGATATGGCCTTCCCAGGGGTTCATACCCCAAAATCGCACTTTCTGCAGGGGTCTCCCCAGGAAAAATATGAAAAAAATCTAAAAAATATTTCGTTGTCAGGTTTTGATGCAGATTGGTGGAGAATTGATCCAAAAATCGATAAAGGTACTCCTCGCAAGAATCGGATGAGAATTGGCCGAGATATGGCCTTCCCAGGGGTTCATACCCCAAAATCGCACTTTCTGCAGGGGTCTCCCCAGGAAAAATATGAAAAAAATGTAAAAAATATTTCGTTGCCAGGTTTTGATGCAGATTGGTGGAGAATCGTTATAAAAATCGTTTAAGGTACTCCTCGCAAGAATCGGATGAGAATTGGCCGAGATATAGCCTTCCCAGGGGTTCATACCCCAAAGTCGCAGTTTCTGCAAGGGTCTCCCCAGGAAAAATATGAAAAAAATCGAAAAAATATTTCGTTGTCAGGTTTTGATGCAGATTGGTGGAGAATCGTTATACAAATCGTTTAAGGTACTGCTCGCAAGAATCGGATGAGAATTGGCCGAGATATGGCCTTCCCAGGGGTTCATACCCCAAAATCGCACTTTCTGCAGGGGTCTCCCCAGGAAAAATATGAAAAAAAATGTAAAAAATATTTCGTTGCCAGGTTTTGATGCAGATTGGTGGAGAATCGTTATACGAATCGTTTAAGGTACTCCTCGCAAGAATCGGATGAGAATTGGCCGAGATATAGCCTTCCCAGGGGTTCATACCCCAAAGTCGCAGTTTCTGCAAGGGTCTCCCCAGGAAAAATATGAAAAAAATCGAAAAAATATTTCGTTGCCAGGTTTTAATGCAGATTGGTGGAGAATCGATCTACAAATCGTTTAAGGTACTCCTCGCAAGAATCGGATGAGAATTGGCCGAGATATGGCCTTCCCAGGGGTTCATACCCCAAAATCGCACTTTCTGCAGGGGTCTCCCCAAGCAAAATACGGTATTAGTTGTGGAAAGGAAAATCTGGTATTATTTGTGGCCATTCCCCGCCTTAGAGTCCACTTGTAACCAAACCAAGCAAATACCCGATAAGAAAGGGCATCAATAATATGTACAATTATAACTAAAGTATGACTAGCAACTGGCCAAAAACATAAAACTGAAACGAAAAAAATGAGAAAAACCTGCTGGGTATTAAAGAAAACTAGTTAGGAATTGCAATTAAAGCGCCGAATGCAAAAACGCCATTAGGGCTTAATTATAGAGCAAATTAATAGGACCCTACTTATGTGAGTGAGTGGTGGATGACTCTACTTGAGTTTTCAGTTACGGCCACTACAGCTACTACTGCCAAGGCTAACCCATTTTCTGGCCGCAATTTCATTTGTCTTTCGAGGGTCCTTTTGGCATTTTATTTTCTATTTTTCGCCTTTTTCTGTCATTTTATGCTGACAACATTAGACCATTTTTTTGTCTTCCTATATACTATATATATATATATTTTTTTTTTTGGCTGGTTTGTAATATGAATTATATTCTTTCATGCCTTTGCAGCAGTTTTTTTCGTCCCCTGGCCACGCTCTTGAATTTCGTTTCATTTTTATTTTCAATTTTAATGTTGGCCGCCCTCCCGAAAGGAATTTGTGTCAAGTGCGTGAATTTTTGTGGGTACTGACTGGAAGGGAGGGAGTAGGAGTGCCTAATTTAGTGCTTTTTTCCCGAGAAGGCGGTCACGTTGGCATGCTTTATTATTATTATTTTATTACTTAGTCGTTGTTGTTCGTTTGCTCGTTTTCTAATTAATGTGTTTCTCCTTTTTTTTTTTGTGTTGTTTTTCCTTGGGGGCTCCATTCAATTCCATTCCTGGGCCATTAAACGCCATTAAAATTATGGCGGCTAATGCACGGAATGACTCTTGCCTGCTGGCCGAGTCGTCGCCTGTCGCCTTAACCGGAAATTTCCTTCATTTTTGGCTAAAAATAATGGCTAGCCAGAGCCACAGTCACCACAGCCACCATGGCCACCACAGATATTAATTATTACAAATTTCCGGTAGTTGGTTGCCCAACAAACTGGCTTTTACATTTAAGATTTTTCAAATAAATAAATAGATTTAAAATTAATAAAGATCCTTTTTTTTCAGACTGACAAGAAGAGATATGGCTATTGGAGGACATCGATGCGAATGCCACACGCTGATTAAGAGCCTCTGATAGAGAGACCCCAAGGACATTTAGACTCCAAACTCCATAGACTGAGGGGTGGAGTGAGAAAATGTGCAAGAGCAGCGATTCTAAAACGACAGCAACGCTGGCAAACTTATTAGCGAAATGCACGAAGTCAACAAATGGACAGAGAGTCCTTCCAAAGGAAAAGGAGAGTCAGTGCCAGAGACAGAGCCAGTGCCAGAGCCATAGCCAGTGCCAGGAGCCGCAAAAACAACGAGGTAAACGTCAAAACAAGCTGCAGGAACAACAAGAACAAAACCAGATAGAGCAACACCAACACCAACAACCATACCATAATCAGCGTCAGGAGCAAGGACATCAAATAGACCAAACGGCAATGGGGACAAATGAAGAGGCGGCAGCACCAGTGGCAGCAGTGGCAGCAGCATCAGCAGCATCGGCTGCCAAGAAGCACGAACAGCAGACCAAACCAACAGACTCCAAATGCAAAAGCAAACACAAATACAAATTCAAACACGAAGCGATGATGGTGGTGGACCACCATAAGCAGGACCTAGAGGAGGAGGACCTGGAGCAGGAGCAGGAGCTGGACCTAGAGCTGGAGTTGGGAAATTGCAATAATGTTGCCAGCGTGCAGCAGCATGTCCTGCGGTTGTTTTTACTCCTGCTACCGATTTTGCTGCTCCTCCAGCTGCCAGCCGGGGTAACCGCAGCCTCGATGACACCTTCGGCCAGGATCTCCAGTGCCAAAGGCAATGCACGTGAGCTCCTCTTCACCGAGATGGGCGGCATTAGTTCCCCGTCCGTTGCTTCTGCTGGATCTCCCCAAGGAACTGGAACTAGCAGCAGTAGCAGTAGTAGCAGTAGCAGTGGAGGTGGTGGTGGAGCAGCCGGCATCGAATGCCCCAGCTTCGACAACTCGGCCTGTCCTTGCTACAAATTCGAGGATGGTAAGTGCGAACGGTCGAGCGAGCTAATTAAACGCATCAGCCGTTGGAGACGTTGGAGCAAAGTTTATTGCACCCAGGACGTGCAGAGTGTGTTCAGGACTACCCTTGTCGACTAAATGATACCCAGTAGTTAGAACTTGAAGCTCTTCATAGCTTTCTTCCTAAACATTTACAGGACATCTTGGCTAGTCCACACCCAGTGGAGTTGTTTACTTTGAACTCCTCCCGAGAGCGATTATTTCATCAGCAGACACAGCTCTTCACTTACGTATTTCCACAATCAAGTCGAAAGTCATTAGAGTAGCTCGTAAATAATGTACACTACCAAAGGGTATTGCCATTTTATTGTTGCATCTAGCAATAGCTTTTCAATTCCGGAATTAATATCTTGAATTCCAAACACACTCTTTAGATATCATTATTTTGGTGTACTGATGCCAACAAGCCAATATTATATTCCTTTTCGAGTTTATTGAGTGCAAGGACTTGTGGGCAGGTCCTTGGCTGTCTGGGTGGCTGGCTACTTGTTATTCCGCCTGCTTGACGGCCCCACCTCGACCATGAATATTGATTAGAAAGGGGTGTGAATTCAAACGAATATGACAAGCTACTTAGCCGACAACAGCTGGCCCGGTGCTGGTCTCCTCCAGCAATAATATGAATTACAATGACCTGCTTCTGCACAGGACATGGACATGGCCATGGACATGGACAGGGACAGGATGTGGTCTATCCAGACTAATTGAAATGCACAAAATGCCCTATCCTTCCATACGATTAATATTCTCATTATCATTTTCCAACACCCGCAGGACTATTTCTGGAGTGTCCCGGCACCACGGCGATATCTCTACGTTCCACCCTGGAGAGGATCTCGGCCCCGATCCATTCGCTATCCATTTATGATTTTGACCGTTCGGTGACGTCACTGTCGCAGGATGTCTTCCAGCCGGGCGTACATATCCGGCATCTGCAGTTCTCACATTCGCACCTGGAGGCCCTCAAGGACAATAGTCTGCGCAACGTCCGCTCCAGCCTCGAGTCCTTGAGCATTGTTAACGGGAAATTGACACAGGTGAGTGATGCAATATTATTTGCAAACACATTTTTGAAAATATTTTTGGTTTTTGGGGGAAGATGTCTTTTCAATACAATGACTCTCAAACTGTAGGGGCATCTGTCAAAAATCATAGCATACTTATCGGATGCAGTGGCTGGTGGGAAACCTGACTAGATCGGCCAGCTCTACTGACATTTATGAGGCTTATATGCAGACTAATTAGTCCTTTTGGCTTCTATTCGCCACTCCCCACCCCCTATTTCCATGCCACTGAAAATATCCTGCGGCAACATACGGCGCCAAATAATGTTAAACAAAGTTGGGCAACCAAAAAAATGCAAATGGCTTTCTAAGCCATTAAATTTGGAAAAACAGCCGCCGCAACACCAGAATCCCCAATATCCCCAGTGCGTTTCACATTCAACAGTGAAGCGGTGGCAAGTGGCAAGCATTGGAGAGGGGGAGGGGGGAGCTAGCCGCCAGCCATAAAAAGTAATTTGCCGCCGCCGCTGAATAACAAACGAGCCAAAGCCAAAAACAATTGCGTTCAATAAAATAATTTGCAGGCGAGCTGGCAAACGCAACTGGCGAAAATCGGCCAGCCGGAAACGCACACCAATACACACACCAACACACAGATACTAGCATACCGGAAGTGAAACAGTGGGCGCGGCTTTCGAGTGAAGCTTTAAGCGGGTAACACGGAAGTAAACAAGAACCAAAAGTGATTCCCCGAATATATTTCAACAGCATATTAGCCTCAAATTAGCACTGAATAGCCGCCTTCTGCCTCATTTCATGCCTTGGTTTCGGCCCATTTTCCGGAAATTCTGGCCAAAACAGAGCTCAGAAGATATTCCAATAAAGTTTATGCCATTTACCATTTAAAATGGTAATCAAATAATTGATGATTCGTTTAAAAAGCGTCAACAGGTTTTGGATTTTTTAGACTCCAAGGGAGGTATTTTTCTTAAGGATTTAATCTGTAACGGCCTATTTCTGATACATATAATTAATTGATGGTATGATTTGCTACTGTAGTTTATATTCTTTCAAGTGGTTATGTTTTCTACTTTCATCCTCAAGTTTTTGTTTAAGTTTTTTCCAAACTTGGTCAATAGACTCCATCCTCTTTTAAATGAAAAAAACCTCTTTTTTCTTGTAATTCGCATTTATTTTTCACATATGTATGCCATTGTCCATTAAATACTACCCTAAAGGTATTACATTCACTATAATAGTGTTATATTAAAACCCCTTAAACTAAGACAGGTTTCCTGGTAGTCGATGTTGGAAAAATAATAATGGGAAGACAGACATCAGGCTTATCGCCCACCTGCCTGGTACCGCAGAGTCTCCTATCCGTACGCCGCCAATCTGTAATTCAGAAAATTAATTAGTAATCCCTTCATTATACAAACCCCCTATTATAACTCACTATTCCGTGGTCTGGAGTGACAGTTCTGGTTGTTCAACTGACACCTGTTGGCCAAGACCTTGCAGCTCTGGCCATTTCGCGAACGGACACAGATCTCCTGTTCGGGCGGCGTTCTCCGGCAGATGACAGGACGTGCTGGGCAGGGATAGAAGCAGGGCCGACGATTCGAGGCACCCACACCCCGAATGCCCCGACACTCCAGATCCTTGGTGTGGACCACTCCGGCCGAGATGCCGCGACGGTTGGCCAACAGGAGCTGGCAGATGTTGCCGAATCGTTGGCAGTCACCGTTGGGCAAACGGCCGCAGACCCGGGGACTGGTGGCCAGGCACACGGGGAGCAGGATGCAGCGTGGGGGGAAGGGTGGGCGGATTATGGTGATCCTAGAGGTGGTGGTGGTGTCTAGTTCCGTGGTGGTGGCATTAGTTTTCCAACTAAGAGTTACTAGTATAAGGCCTTAGAAAGGAATGGGGTTTATAATTATTTTTAATATATTTTTAAGGATTTGAGGTTCTTTAATCCTTACCCAAGGTGATTCCCCATTTTTTAGAAAACATTTTAAGGTTTTAAGATAGAGATCTTGGGAGTAACTTTAACTCAAGTAAGAGTTCTTTTTATATCAAAAGTTTGGGTAGTTTTTTTAAAAACAATTACCCGGAAGCTGTAGAAGAATAAAGGGTTATATTCCAAGTTAAGAAGAAAGCTTCACAAAAGCTAAAGACTGTGAAGTCTTTCCAAAAATGAAACAAAACCCAATGAGATGAAGAGCTCTTAAAATTTAAATAAAGTTTCAAAAACAAAGGCCATAAAACCATTTAAAATTTAAAACACATGTCGAAAAGATAATAAGCTTCTTAAGCCCCCAGACCTATAAAAAGTAAGCTTTGCCATTCGAAAGATATCATTCCACTGCTGGAAACAAAGAACTCAATATCTTAAGACCTCAAACTCCTAAAATCCTTCAAAAACCATGTCCAAGCTGAGTCTCATCCTGCTGATAGCCACAATTGTGGTGGCCATTGAGGCCGAGGGCATTGCCCGGCCACGTTGCCTCAACCGTTGCTCGCCCAAGGATCTGGAGGATCCCAGGTCTATCTGTGTCCGGGAAGAGTCCACCAACAACTGTCGGAAGCTGAAGCCCTGCCAGCTGCAGCAGTTGAACTGCCTGAGAAGGATCACCGGCAGGGAGCTGCTCCAGGAGACATGTATCGCCCGCTGCCGCAGGATAGCCAGTGGCTCGCAAGGACGTTGTGCCTCCCGGCTGCCAGGTCCTGTAAAGAGGGATTAGATTGGGTGTTTTTTTTGTGCTCACTGTTGAGTGTCTTTGGAATTCAAAATAACCATAAATATTTCATAATGTGCCAACAATAAAAATAAATATTATTTTATGGCAGAAGATTTTTTTCGTTTGGCCAGGCAGGCAGTCAGGGAGGCATGCTACTGCCAATGGCCATAAATTGCGAGTGAAGTCGCGTCGCATCGTTCTGGCTTGGGCGCCAGAACGTTCAGCGCGAAAGTTCAATAAATTAAAATCGACTGCCATAAATTTCCATGTCAGTACATTAATTAAAAGGCCGTAATTCGCTTTGTCCAGCTCAGGTGACACTCGGTCCTGATGGCACGCCCACCATTCCTGATGGCCACTTGCCCCTCCTGGCTACTGGCCACTGGCTACTGGCTACTGGCCTCTAGAATGTTCAATCAGTGCAATTAAACGTCTCTCCTGGCAATTCACAGCCAGGACACTCTTTTGTTTCCATTGGCAACTGTCGAAAAATGTCTCGAAAGGGTCCTCTCTAGGCCAACATCACCGGATTGGCAATGCAATCAAGTTCTGGTTCTGATTCTGATTCAGATTCAGATTCAGGATTCGAAAAGTGTGTGACCCAGACTGGACTTTTCTTTAGGATTTTAATTAATAATCGAAACTCGAGCAAAATCGAGCAATGTAGGATGTTATCGCCTTGTAGTAGGCCTTTAGTTTTGGATTCCGACGTCCCTAATCGAGTCAGCCTTGCAGGGCATTTGTCAGAAAAGGTTTGATTCAAACACCCAGAACTTCATTCGTAAGTGAAAGCGTTTCTGTAAGGAAGTCTCTCTCTAAGCAGCAGTCTGAAAAAAAAATCAGAAAATTTTCACAAAAAAAAACTTAATCGGAAAAATAATGAAACCTCAAGGAAACAAGAACCGTCCTCCGGAACCCGGTGAGTCGGCCTCCAAGCGGGAGCGCAGGGATGGCCCTAGTGGCAGTGGTGCTGCTGGTGCGGGTGGTGGCTCCCCGAAACAGTCGCTGCGCAACCATCGCAAGGAACACCGCAACAAGGACGGCAGCAAGAGCCACGCCCACGGCCCGAACGCCCAAGAGCAGCAGCAGCAGAGCTCATCGGCCGGGCCATCGAACTACTGGATGAGCAGCGACTCGGATTCGAGTTACACAGAATCGAGCAGCAGCTCGTCGGTCTCCACCAGCTCCGACAGCTCGCCGGAGAGCTCGTACTCGTCCAGCGACAGCGATGACGAACCGGAACGGCCCGATAGGTCCGACCGGAAGCACAAGTGCTGCCGCCATCGCCACCACCATCGCCGTCGCCGCCACTACCATAAGCCGCACCGTCGCCGTCATCGCCGTCGAGGATGCATCGTAAAGCGCCCCAAGCGGAGTCGCCGCGCCAGGTCCTCGGCCGGGTTCTCCGACCGGCAGGGCAGGACTTTGGCGGCCATCGCCTCCAATTGCGTGGTGCCAGAACCAGCGCCTCTCATCCAAATCCCGGATCCGTTGCCGCAGTCCGTGCCGGGCCTTATACCGGCGGCCATGACTGTGCCCGCCCAGCTGGCCGTGCCACAGCCGGTGCCGGCTCCTGTACCCGCTCCTGCTCCCGTGCCAGCGCCAGCCCAGGAGCCCACTTCCACATCAGCGGCCAGCCACGCCCCGGAAGTTGCTCGAAAGCCACGTGCGGGCCGCACCAACTCCCAGACTAGAGGCGCCACCTCCACCACCGCCATCCAGCACTCCAATCAAATGCCCAACCGGCAGCAGCATCAGAGCCAGCCTCAGAACAACTACACTGCCGTCGAACTGACCTCCGGGGGAAAGACCTATCCCAGCACGGGCACGAAAGCCCGGGACAGCGAACCCATATTCCCGGAGGTGGAGAACAGCAACCTCTACAAGAGCAAGAGCCAGGCCATCGCCACCAGCAGCAAGGCAGCGACTCCGAAGAGCTCCATCACTAAGCCACCGGCGGGTCAGCCGAAGCCCATACAGCCCAGGATACAAGAATCCAATCCTGGCAGCAGCCACAACCACAATCAGATGTCCAACCACGGCGCCGCTCAGAGCACCACCACCACCTCGAAGCCGAGCATCAGCAGTTCCCAGAACAACCATGGCCAGCCGGTGGGCAGGGACGACTCGGCGAGGAGGAACTACAGTAACATCACCAGCAGCGCCCGACCCTACCGCCGCGGCATGGACCCCTCCCCGAACTCGACGGGCGGCCAGAGGCGTCAGTGGTCGAACAACCGGATGCGCTTCTCCCACAGGAATCCGCGCAGTCCCAGCTTGAGTCCGGGGGCCAGCGACAACGAGGGCAACAAGCACAACTCCGGGAACAACGACGGATACCGGCCCTTCTGCAACAAGAACAGCAAGAACGGATCATCGTCCTTCAACTTTAATGTCCTGCCGGTGCGGATAGTGCGCCTGCACATCAAGGGCCTGACCCGCCAGGTGACCAAGGAGCACATCACCGAGATCTTTGGGCACTTTGGCGAGATCACGGCCGTGGACTTTCCCACGGATCGATTCCAGGGACGCCAAGGCCGGGGCTATGCCTTCGTGGAGTACAACCGGCCGGAGGACTGTGCCTGCGCCATCAAGCACATGAACGGCGGCCAGATCGACGGCAAGCGGATCGTGGTCTCCGCCTTCCAGGAGAACATGCTGCGGGCACCGTGGCGTCAATACCGTCGCTACTCTCCCGTCCGCCGTCGCCCGCGCCGCAAGTCGGGCTCCCAATCCCCAACAGACTCGGTGCTCTCCCGCTCGGTCTCACCATCGCCGAGGAGCGACCGATCCCGACCCCGTTTCAAGTCGCGCTACCAGTCCACTTCCCGCTCCAGGTCCAGATCCGGGTCCCGGTCTCGATCCCGCACCCGCTCCCGCTCCTCGCCCCGCTATGGCCAGTACCATCGTCCCGATTCGCCTTAACATCCGGGGATCTGCCGGAAGCCCACTTGAAATCTATTATATAATTTGTGAACCAATTTTTTTGAATTAAAACTTAAAACGGGAAGTCCAAGGGGTCTTTGAGGAGGGGGTAAAGGATTACATAACTAGAGTGGCATGAGAGAGTTGCATAAATATCTGCATGTATTTTTGTTGAAAAAAACGTCATCCTTTCATCTGAAAAAATATGCAATACTGACCAAATAATCCCCATCCCGGCGAGAGAGACCAGTAGCTGGTCTAGTCGCGTGCCAGAGCCACGCGAGTGGGTTTCCGTTTATTGGAAACGGCAGTGGAGGCATCCGATTTAATTGTTCCGCGAAACGGTCGTCCAACCAGACCAGACCAGACCAGACCAGGTGAACAAACAAGTAAACAATTCCCCCGCTGAGGACGCTTCAGGTGTTCGTTTCGAGTGATATATGCATTCCGCACAATGGGACTTTTAATTACAGATTTTGGCAAAAAAAAAGTATCAGAGAGGGGGGTGGATGGCAGATGGCAGGGAGAATTAACTTTGATCGCAGGTCACAAAGGTAAAAAAAAGGGGGCAACAGTGCAAACACACGTGCCACACACGGCGTATACGCAATGTGCGAGGATGACACGAGAGCTTGTTTGTCGTTTTTTTTTTGACGTTTGATTTTGGATTGAAAGGCAAGAGCCAACTAACCAACAACCTTTTGACCTTTTAAAGCTTAGATCTAATATTTAATATCTTTCTTTATTTTCCCCTCCCCACAGATGCCGTCTCGCGCCTTGAGTGCCATGCAAAAGTTAACGGCCCTGGACTTTGATTACAACGAGATAGTTCGAGTGGAGGACTATAGCTTCTATGGGCTGAGGCTCTCGAAGTTGAATCTCAAAGGCAACCGGCTGCAGGGGATGCCGGAGCACGCGTTTGCGGGTCTGGAAGAGTGCCTGCAGGAGATCGATGTATCGGAGAACGGCCTACGCACCTTTCCGCTGATGGCCCTCCGGAAGCTGGATCATCTGAGGATACTGAGGCTATCCAATAATCGCATAGCCACCTTCTACGGCGACATCCAGCTGGCCACCAACAATGCCACGGCAGCGGCGGCGGCAGCAGCTGCCCTGCAACTGCCCTCGCTGATATTCCTGGACCTGAGCTCCAACCAGTTCGCCGAGATCGGGGACGACTGTTTCCGGGCCTTTCCGCAGCTGAAGACGCTGTCGTTCTACGCCAACCAGATCGAGATTGTCCAGCCGGAGGCGTTCAAGAGCCTGCGCGAACTGATGTCCCTGGACATGTCGCACAACCGGATAGTCACGCTGGATCCCAAGGTCTTCGAGAGGAACAAGCGCCTGCAGACGGTGGACCTCAGCCATAACCACATCCACGCCATCGGCGGTGTGTTCTCGGACCTGCCCCAGCTGCGAGAGGTGTTCCTCAGCGAGAACAACATCCTGGAGCTGCCGGCGGACGCCTTCACCAACTCCACCAACGTGGACGTCATCTACCTGGAGGCGAACGCCATCGGTCACATAGATCCGAACGTGTTCAGTACGCTGGTGAACCTGGACCACCTGTACCTCCGATCGAACTTCATACCGCTGCTGCCCGTGACCCTCTTCGACAAGTGCACGAAGCTGTCGTCCCTGTCGCTGGACAACAACGAGATCCAGGACCTGGAGATAGGCATGTTTAGGAAGCTGGAGCACCTGAGGGAGGTCCGCCTGCACAACAACCGAATCCGGAGGGTGAGGAAGGGAGTGTTCGAGCCGCTGCCGGCCCTGCAGGAGCTGCACATCCAGAAGAACAGCATCGAGGACATCGAACCGCAGGCCTTCCACACGCTGCTCAACATGCAGCACATCAATCTGCAGGACAACCAGCTGACCGTGCTGGAGGACATCTTTCCGGAGGACAACTCCAGCCTGCTGTCCGTCCAGCTGGAGGCCAACTACTTGCACAAAGTGCATCCGCGCACCTTCCGGCGCCAGCAGAAGGTCCAGATAATGTGGCTGCGCGACAACCAGCTGGCGCGTGTGGAGAGATCCTTCTTCGCCGACACCCCGCAGCTGGGGCGGCTCTATCTGAGCGATAATCGCATCCGGGACATCGAGAAGGACACGTTCGGCAGCCTGCTGCTGCTGCAGTTCCTCGACCTGAGCGGCAACCAGCTGCGGCAGCTGAGGCGCGACTACTTTTCGCCGCTGCAGAGCCTCGAGGAGCTGAGCCTGGCCCGCAACCACATCGAGGCCATCGAGGGGTATGCCTTCGCCAAGCTGAAGAACCTCAAGTCCCTGGACCTCTCCCACAATCCCCTCGTGCAAATCACCAGGGACGTCTTCCTCGACGAGCTGCCCCTTAGCTCGCTAAGCCTGGCCAACTGTTCGCTCCGGAAGCTCGAGCAGCACACCTTCAAGTCGCTGACCAACCTGAACGACCTGAACCTGGAGAGGAACCTGCTCAACCCGGCGGACATCCAGAAGCTGGACGTGCCGAATCTGCGGAAGCTCCAGCTGTCCCACAACAACTTCAGCCACGTGGGCCTGGGCGGCAATGCCGGCGGCATCATGGCCGGAATGTTCGACAAGCTGCGCTCCCTGCAACAGCTGACCATGGCCAACTGTAGTCTGGGCCATGTGCCGGACCTGCTCTTCTCCAAAAACCCCAACCTGGTGAAGCTCGATCTCTGCGACAATCGGCTCAGCCAGATGAACAGGAACATATTCAGCGGCCTGAACGTATTTAAGGAGCTGCGCCTGTGCCGGAACCTGCTCACCGAGTTCCCCCACATTGCCCTCTACAACCTGAGCACCCTGGAGAGCCTGGACCTGGCCAGGAACCACTTGGCATCCATCGATTTCTTCAAGCTGAGCGGTACCCTCAACCTGCGCCAACTTATCCTGAAGGACAACAAAATTACAGCCCTGAGCGGCTTCAATGCCGTCAACCTCACCCAGCTGGACAGCGTGGACCTGAGCGGAAACTCGTTGCTGTCGCTGCCAGCCAACTTCCTGAGGCATTCGATTAATCTGCAGAGAGTCGACCTGTCCAGTAACCGGTTCCTGCAGATCCCATCCTCGGCCCTCTCGGACGTCTCCATACCGCGCCTCTCGTGGCTCAACCTCACCGGCAATCCCATCAATCGCATCTACACCGTCAAGGAGGAGAGGTATCCGTATCTGAAGGAGCTCTACATCTGCCAGACCAATCTCTCCATACTGACGTCCAAGGACTTTGAAGCCTTCCAGGCTCTGCAGCACCTCCATCTGGTCAATAACAGGATTACTCGCATATCTCCGGGTGCCTTCAAGTCGCTCACCAACCTCCTGACCCTCGACCTGAGCGTCAACGAACTAGAAATGCTGCCCAAGGAGCGCCTCCAGGGCCTCAAACTGCTGCGATTCCTCAACATTTCGCACAACACCCTCAAGGACCTCGAGGAGTTCAGCGCCGATCTCTCGGAAATGCAAACCCTGGACCTCAGCTTCAACCAGTTGGACAGGATATCGAAGAAGACGTTCCGCAACCTGCACGGCCTGGTGGAGCTCCTCCTGATGGGCAATCGGATGACGGTATTGTCCAATGACGCCTTCCGCTACTTGAGGAAGCTGCATCTGCTGGACCTCAGGAAGAACTACTTCGAACTGGTGCCCCTGGATCCTCTGAAGCCGCTGGAAACCAATCTGAAGACTCTCAAACTGGAGGGTAAGTGAAGAAACTTAACTTTTGAGGAAAATGTGCAAGTGTGCGAATCGCTCGAGGATGTCTTTCTCAAAGCTTCTAGAAAGTGGACCTGTCTGGCAATATTTGGAATCTCAAACAGAGTGGCCAGATCGACTAGTCCCATTGCCAGATCGTCTATTAACTGCCTATCAGTCTGTCTTCCGAAAGGTGGCAGCACTTTGTTGAAAATTTTAAGGCCCTTGGCCGAATCCTCATTTTCAGTCAGTCGTTGTCGACTCCTCGACCTGAGCACCTCGAGCTCCCTATTTTATTTTCATCTTTTTTTCTTTATTTTAATTTTCAATTTTATTATTTTTCATTAAATACCATGGAATCTACCCCTCTAACGTTGCAATCAAATCGGTTGATCTGATTTTTTTTTAAATTTTTTGTGTTTATTTTTTTTTATTTTAAAACCCTGGGTTTTTCCAATAATTTATGGGTCATCTGTGCCTTGATCTCATTTTCTCATTTTTTTTATTTTTGATATATTTTTTTAATTTAAATAAAACCATGGGTTTTCAATCACCAACTTTAAGCTTGTCACCTTGCGGTTTCTTCTTAATCCCGTGAATAGCACTTATATTGTTTTTTAGTTCAATTGTATAACCCTGGGTTTTCCATGAGTTTTCTGGTTATTTCGGACTGGATCTCATTTGCTTATTTTTTTTTATTTTTGATATCTTATTTATACGATATCTTAATATATATATATTTTCTTAATTTAAATAAAACCCTGGGGCTTGCTTGCTTACTTTTTTGACTATTCCGGATCTCATTTGCTTATTGTTTTTATTTTTTTATTTTTGATATATATTTCTTTTAAAATATATATATTTTTTAATTAAAATAAAACCATGGGGTTGGTTTACTAACTTTTTTGACCATGCCAGATCTCATTTGCTTATTTTTTTAAATATTTTTATTTTTCAATCCAAATAAGACCATGGTTTACCGTGATCCAGCTTTTCAGCTGGTTGCTTTCTTCTTCTGGATCTCATTTACTTATTATTTTTTTTTTAATGTTTTTTTTTTAATTATTTATTATTTTCAATTGATTTCAGTTTTAATTTTTTTTTGCTTTTCTGAGCCTTCTTTCCTTTTTATTTTATTTTTTTAATGTTATTTTTTGTGCCAATTCGAGAAAAGGCCCCCCTGGGGGTTATGTAATTGACGAATATGAGTCGGGTGGCGCAAACAAGGCAAACAATTACCATTGCATGTGTTGGGCTTATCAAAAGGATTAACAACTGTCCTTTGATACGAGTCCTGCAGGAGCATGTGTGTGTGTGAGTGTTGGCAGGACGTTGTCATGGACAATTTGGTGCTCATTGCTATATCGTCTGACTACTCGTTTCAGAGAATCCACTGCATTGCAGCTGCGACGCCCAGAAGCTCTGGGAATGGCTGCGGGATCATCGCAAATGGTCACTGGCCACCGGCGGCGGCGGAGGAGGAGGCGGCGGCGGGGATTCCATTAATTACCTGAGGTGCGAACACCCCTCGGAGCTGCGGGGCAAGGTGTTTGGCAAAATGGAGCCACAGCAGTTCTGCGATGCCCCGCTAATACCGAAAATGGCCATCCAGGACATCCAGCCCTATTCGGTGGTCGTGTCGTGGCAGAGTCGTGACCATTTGGGTCTCACCGGCTTCGAAATTGTTTACCACGCCACCGGCGACGGTCTCGTTCCGGCCGGATCTCCAACGGACCGTGACCGTGAACGGGAGCGGGACCGAGACCGTGACAGGGACAGGGACCGGGACAGGAGCCATGACCATGAGCAGCGGCATCGTGAACAGGAACGGGAGCGAGACAGAGAGCGTTACCCTCTTGCCACGGATGAGGTAAGTTACACTTCAAAAAAAAAAGATATCTGATAATTTAAGCTATAGTGGAAGAGGATATTTATTTAAATTACGAGGCAGTATAATTTTCCGACTTTTCCCACCGGCTTTAAAGATAAGAGCCTATTTCGGAGGGTATTGCTTTCAAAATTTGAAAATACCAAGCACTTCCTAGGTCCGTAGCTTGTAAATCCGTAAATATTCCCGTACCTCATCGATAAATCCGCTTTAAAATGCAAAGCCCTTGTGTTCCGGCTGCTCATTACAATTTTCGAAACGCTTTAAGAGCCCAGTTGGCCAGTTGGCTCTTAGTTTTTGCCGGCAACATCGATAAACTGCTGATGGCCACCATCCGGGAAACTCGAAAGCCGCAGGGAAAGTTTTTAATAAAGCGACACGAACGCGGACAAGGATAGGGATAGGGACAGGGACAGGGACAGGGAAAGGACACAAACCTAGCCAGGGATGAGGAGTAAGGGACATCATCGGCCATGCTGATGCTAATACTGTCGTTGATCCTGATGAGAATGTGAATGGCAATGGGTGTTTTTTTTTTGGGGTGGATACTGGTTCCTGGATGGATAGAGGATAGTGTGGATAGAGGATAGTAGATGAAAATGACAATGGCTAAACTGCGATGACAATAACCGTCTTGCAACCTGGTTAATTTATTCCACAGATACACGGCAAGCGGCTGAACGGAACTGCCAGCTCCACCAAGCTAACCAAACTGAGTCCAAATACCCGGTATCACATCTGCGTCATCGGGAGCGGTAATTGGCTCTCGGAGCCTCTGGCGAATGCGCTACAACGCCTTCATGTCAACGACTCCAACCGGGAGGAGGAGGCTCTGGTGGTTTCGGCCCCCCTGCCGGAGTCATACTCCCCCTACCAGCATCATAGTCGAATGGCCATGGCTCAGGACCAGACCCAGGGCCAGGATGGGGATCTGGAGAATGCGATTGCCGGCGATAATGTGCTCATGGAGGTGCTGAAGAACTCTCACATCTCGGCCTGCACGGACGTCCAGACGCTGGACTCCACGCCCAGCCTGGTGACGGACGAGAACGGCCTGTCAAGCAACGGCTTCATCCACTCCATCCTGACCAGGAGGCTGGGCCTGATAGTCGGCTGCTGTCTGGGCATTATAGTCTTCATAGTGATGATCTCGGTGCTGAGCTACGTGAAGCTGAAGAAGCAGAGGATCGAGAACGCCAAGCGGCAGGCGGCCCTGCCCCCGGAATACATCTCCTATCGCCACTTCTCCATTCCCAACGAGGAGCTGACCCGGACAGCCGCCAGCGCCGGCAATGCCGCGGCTGCCGTGGCTGCTGCCCAGGCGGCGGCGGCGGCCCAAGCGGCGGCAGCTGCCCAGGCGGCGGCTAACAATTCGGGCACGCCGTCGGGCAGTTCACCGCACATGTCCAGTGTGCCCAGCGGCATCAGTGCACACATCAGTGGGACCAGCCTGAGCACCGGCACAGGCACCACCACCACTACAGCCACCACACCCATTGGCGGTGTACCGGTGGGTCTGCCCCTCGCTGCCAAGGCGGCCAGTCCCATCGTTGGCCTGGTGGTTGATCCCTCCACGGCGGCAGTTGCAGCCGATAACAGTGGCCACCACAGTCACAGCCACGCCCACAATCACAGTCACAACAATCACGCCCACAACCACGCCCATGCCCACCGCCAGAACAACGGTTATATGGCGGCAGGTGTGGTCCTCAACACCAATCACTTGAGTGTCTGTTAGTCGGCACCGTCACCGAACTCGTAGTAACTCCAACCAAAGAAAAGAAATATTTGAGCTGAAAATTCCAGGGAAGAAGATAAAGGGCTGGTTTTAGAAAATTTTGGATAATTTTTCAAAAGCTCATCTCTCTCTAAGAACCGGACCAGAATCCAAATTGCAAGACTATAATTTTAATTCAACAATCAAAGCATCATCACCAAATTTTTATAAAAACTTCTAAATTTAATTAAAAATAATTTATAACCCCGCCAATAAACTAATCACTTATTTTTTTAATTGAAAATCCAAACAAACTGAAATTAAGAGCACTTTGCAAGTATCACAAAGTAAGCTTAATTCAATCGAAACGTTCTCCAACGTACATTAGCTTTTATTATAATTTGAAAACACTTTCCCCAAAAAGAGCCAAAAATGTGAATGAAAAAATTTCAAAATAATTGCCAACTCACTCGATAATAAATGAGTTCTAAGAGGATCCTGTCAGAGTTGAGAGTGCTGGGAGTGGAGGGGGTCTGGATTTTTGGCATTCAACAACATAATCCGCTTTTAATAATTAAATTGATGGCGTGATTTATGTGAATTCAAAGTGAATTAAGTGAATCCGAAACCGAATCGCCACCATACCCCACCCACTGAGAAGTACTATTCAAATCAAATCGGCATTAGTTTTTCAAATAAACCTCCCATCCCCCTGGGACAGCCCCTCACTGGATAAATCATATTTCATACTCGAAAAATGGAGTCAAAACTTTTTACCAATCAGAGCAAATGCCAAAGCATTTTTTACGTTTAAAAAATATGCATTTAATTTACGTGGGAAGCCCAAATAAATACAACTTGCCAAAAATACTGAAAATCCAAAGCAAAAACCCATGAGGGAAAAAAATATGAAAAATAAATAAAAAGAAGCTAGGTTAGTGATAATCATGATGATGCGTTCAACGTTCGTTTAGTTATGACAATTGAAAGTAGAGCACAAAGCGATGGAAATGAAAATTCAAATGGAAATGAAAACTAAAAATGGAAATCGAAATGCGAAATGGAAAACAAAAAAAAAAACTAAAGTAAAGTATCGCAGAATTTTCAATGTAAATAATGTGGAATCAAAGCGAAATCTCAGCCAGAAAAATGGGGAAAAAAATTGCAAAAGTAATAATCGTAAATAGTATGCGAAATGTGGGGGGAGAAAATGTTGCATCTAAATCAAACTAAGCTCGATGGCTATCTATAGGAATTACATAATACACACAGACCCTTTCCCCCAAAAAAACACACACACCCATCAAGGCCCTACATATATACATCCATAAATAGTATATAATGGATAAAAAAAGAATAGAAAGAAAACACACACCAGAAACACTTTTTTTTTGTGAGCTAGACTTAGTGAATAAATAATGTATGTGAATTTTTTTTTTTTAGCAAGTACTTGAATGATTACTAAAGAATCAAAGATAAAAACTAGCGTAAAGTAAATTAAATTAAAAAATATGAGCACTTGCAGCGGTGTAAAGAGACGAAGGAAACATATTAACAAACTAACTAAAAAATATACAATTAAGAGCTGGCCCCGATTATTATGCGTAATTGTTAGCAAAACTCAAAGAGTTTCATATGAATATATATATATATATAAATATTAAATCAAACTGAACTTTTTTTTTTCTTCTAGTTAACTGCTCTGTATTTATTTCCAATGGATTGTTTTCCTAAATATACAATACTATTTGTTTGTTTTTTTTTTGGTGGGTTGAAATTAGAAAACAAATTAAGCTTTAGTCAAGAATGAGAATACAATATGCATAAAGATTTACTTTAGCAAGTGAAATGAGCTGGCAAATGAACAATTTGATGGCCATAAAGCATAATGACAAAACAAGAATTATTTAAGGCCGTCGGAACGTCTAGGAAATAGAATGCAAATAATAGAGCTGCTAAAGAATTTCTAGCAAATAAAGCAAACGAGTTAAGTGAAAGCAAATCAAAATCCAAGAAATGTTGCCAAACAGACACACAGAAACACAACCCACACCCCCAACTAGCATACAAAAGAAGATTTTCTCATTTTCTCAGTGTGCCCGTGTGTCCTGTGTGCTTGGGCTTTACAAATATTTTAATATTGTTATGTTGAAAACAAAAACAGCAACAGCAACAGAAATAGCAATAGCAATAGAAAGTAAAGCATTCTGGAAAGAAAACTTAAAAGCAAACAATAACAAGCAGAACTGGGCCATTGGGGAAATGGGCAGTACGAGTACGAAAATGCAAATCAAAATCAAAAAATCGAACTTAGGGCAACAAAATAAGTAAAAAAATACAAAAAACTATAAAGAAAAGAAGCAAAAATAATCAAATTGAACAATGCTTCCCCTTATGCTCTACAAAAAGAAAAGAAACAAAAAAAAATACATTTTGCTGCAGGGCCGAGCTCGAACTCGAACTCGGGACTCTTCCCTTCAATTCTCGTTCAATTGTAGGGCATAAAAAGCAAACACATGCCGACCCAACCAAACTGCAGAGGTAAAAATTAAACAAACAACCAGACAAAGCCCCCAGAAAAAAATGAGAAAAAAACACCCAATAAATGTAATAAATTAAAAAAAAAATGAAAAATTCACAAAAAAAAATACAAAACTAAATAAAGTAAAACCAAATATTGTATGGCAAGCAACACAAAGTAAAATATTAATAAATGACAAGAAACTTTCAAACAAAATTCCCCACAAAAAAGGTTTTTCACTATTTGATTGCAGCGGATATTTGCACATGGTATTGCATTTGCATTTTCGGGCGTAGGGCGTTGGGGAGGGGAACTGCACCTGCACCTGCAATTTGCACCTGTGTTTACCTTACAGCCTGCAACATAGGCTTGCGGTAAGTTTGTCCATAAAATACGAAAGTAAAAAGATTTCTCTATGTATTTTGGTTTCAGGCCACTTTCCAAAGAGAGATTCTCATAAAATTACGGCTTTAGTTTGCATTTATTTTTGTTTATCTCAAAAATGAATGTACGCCTTTTGATTTCTTAGCTTTAATCCAGCAATTTATTTGTTTACTTTTTGATGTAAAAAATTGTATATTATTTTTATTTTTGTCTGTGATCATCATTGAACTCGAAACCAACTCCACTTGAGGAGTAACATGCCTGGAAGCTACCTTTTTTATTTTATTTGCATGCATTTGTGCAGGACTACCCTTTGCCTTTATTTTTTAGTCCACATCCTCGCCCTCTTGTTTTTTTGTTGCAAATTTTAATTAAATGGAAATTTCCGCTGTCTTGAGCACGTTTTCTCATCAGCGGCATTAAATGCTATGCAGAATTTTAATTAGGCCCGCAACTCACACCCACCACTGCATGTATGTAGGAAAAGGACATGTACAGGACTGGGTGCTGGGTGCTGGGTGAGTGGGCTTGTGTGCAACAGGATTTGTAGCACAATTGCTGGCGAGCTAAGAGGCGAAGGATGTCAGGATGTTTGGCTGGCAGGAAACTGGTGGGAAATTGAGCCCTATCCACGCAATAAAACGCTAAATAATAGTGACTGTGAGGCATCTTGGCCAAGTGCAAACACAGCGACTGCTGGAAGGCAAATTGGGCCAGAAAACCGGCAACGACTGACGCCAATCTATTTCACTAGTCGGGCGAGTAAGTAAGTTACCAAGTTGTTTAATTAAAACAAACTTTAATTGGCCAAACTTCCCTGGCATGGTACACCATGGCGGCAGGGTCGGGCTTGGCATGGTATGGTCCTTCGTGTGTCCTTCTCGTGTGCTGCTAGTGTGCTGTATTTTTTTTTTTCAGTTTCAGCCACCTATTTTGTGGAATAACATCACTGTGGACTATGTCGATTTGAATGTCTAATTGCCGGACATGCCAGCTAACACATCACTTGACACAATTGTAAATATGTCGCACTAATTGAAAATAATCAAAAGGATCACCCATCGAAGTTAATTGGAAAGGCACTCTGACTTCACAACTATCAGAAGAAAAAAATACGGGGAGAAAATGAAAAGGTAACAGGAAACAGGAAATGAAAAATAAAAGTTTCTCTCTATCTCTCTGGTAGAAGGCAAAGATGAAGAGGTTCTTTAAGACCAAAGTGAGTCAAAGATAAATCGAATTAAATTCCACTTCATTGGTTCTCGTAAGCCTTTACCAAATAAAAGCCAAGCCATAACAAATAGACCTTCAATATGGAAAGTTATGCCACAGACAAACAGATGGTCGAGGGTAAACGCGAAGCATATTTCTCACATGAACGCCACAAAACTATTGAAAATTACTATAAACAGCCTGGCCAAGAATCGCATGAATTGGTTTTATATATACATATAAATATATATGCTCTGCACATACGCATCTACATATATACAACAATGACCGAAAAACAACAAATATTTTTTATGATAGCCATGGAACTGACCAAAAACCACCGCACACGACACGATTCGTTTCGATTTATGGGCGTCGATTTGTGGGTAGCTTTTCTCCTTCACTACTCTATACTACATATACTTTGTACATATGTTCCTGTTCGATAATACATATATATATATATATTTATTTGAACATATATGTATTGTCCGGAGTCCGTAAACACAAACAACGGCAGCAGCAAACAAGTAAGAAAACTCAGCGAAAAGTTTTTCCATTAAATCAATGAAGCGAACAAAATATTCGCACCAAAGCAGCGGCGACAGGAATCAAGCCGAAAATTGGCCAACTTTTTGATTTGAAAGGATTTCCCAATCCAAATATTTTTTTTACCCAGCCTCGAATCTAAACATACTTTATACTAATATACAGATAATAAGTGACTTGAATTGCTTTTGTTTAAATAGAGGGCTCTATAGGAATGGTAATTATTTAAGAGCTTGTTGGCAAATGAATAATCTGTTGTTGTTGGCATAAAATGTGTGTCCATTGTTCATTTTTAATAAAAACTCAGAAAACAAAAAACCTACCATGTTTGTGTCATCGGACATGGACGAGTCAAAGGGATTTCAGTACTCCGCATTGCAAAAGAATCGGCTTTATGGGACTTGAACTTTGTCCATGAACAACATCACCTTTCACCCATCACCTTTCATCCAAGCCCAGCTAG